AAAGAGAAATTTATTTTCAGGGAGGCCAGGACTAGGGCCAACGGGTAGAATCCGAGGGGGAAGAGCTTCAGATCTGCCTCCCCAGCATCTCTTAGCTCCTTGTTCTGATCACAGCAGCCCCCTTTCCCGTTTCATTTGGTTTTGGTGGGGCTGCCAATCACAAGGCCCTATCTCTCCTGTCCAGGGGACAGGCTTGTGACTCAAACCAGGAAACCTGATTCGATTTCACAGAATCTGAACCCTGGCGAGAGACACTCAGGGTGAGAGCATCTGATGGCCACATCCTGGCGAGGTGGTCCACACACTCAGCCACTGAAGAGGGAGTGATGGAGGTAGGCCCGGAACCCAGGTCCCTGGGACTCCTGAGACGGAGCTCAGACATTCCTCGCCTTAAAGCCACCTCTTTCAGGATGAAGGCACAGGGACCATGGGGGAAAGAAGCGTGCTGGGGAAGTCCAGCCATCTGGCTCTTGCGGCATTCCAGTGTGTTCCAATAAATACATCTACCTCCATTTTTCTTCTGCTCAATTATTCAGTCGGTTTCCATGGCTTGAAACCAAAGAACCCCAATCGATATTATACAGTCTCTCTAAAAGGAGGAGCCTGCCAATAATCAGAGCTGTTCAACCCCAGAAAATCTCTTTAGTCAGGGACTTGAGAAAAGAGGGTGCTATGAATTGAATGTTTGTGTCCCCCCACAAATTCCTATGTTGAGGCTCTGGTGGGATGGTGGCATTTGGCTTTTGGGAGGTGCATCCCCATGATGGGATTAGTGCCCTTCAAAGACGAAGGGGTGAGCTGAGCCTTTTCTCTCTCCCCAGCTTATGAGGAAACAGCAAGAAGACAGTCATCTGTAAACGCGGAAGGAGACCATGCTGGCACCCTGATCCGGGACTCCCGGCCTCCAGAACTGTGAGGAATAAATGTCGGTTGCTTAAGCCACCCAGGCTGTGGAGTTCTGTTATGGCAGCTACACTGAGACAGCTAAGACACGGGGACTGGGGTCCGTCTGGTGGGAACATTGTCGAATCAGCTGGGGAAAGGGAAGGAGGGAGAGTCGCGAGCCCCAAGGCCAGTGAGATTCCCTGCATTCTGGCTGTGGGACGGACCTAGGCAAGTCCCTTTGCTCTCTGAGCTTCAGTGTCTGTGAAAGGAGGCGACGAGCATACTTCTCTCAAAGGGTCCCTGAAAGGCACATGGGGACAGTGCAGGCGAAGAGCTTGGAGCACAGCCGTGTCCCTCCTCGCCGGGGCTCAAGTGCAGTCACAGGAGGAGATTAATATGTGCAGGCAGCAAATCATTAGTGAGTGCCTGCTGTGTGCCAGCTGCAGAGCTAAGGATGTCACCTATATTCTTTCACTTAATCTTCAAAGTGGTGTCAACTATCCTCAATCCACAGATGAGAGCTGTGAGGCACAGAGCAGTTAGATAAGTTATCCTAAGGCCACTCAGCAGGCCAGCAGGGCGCTGAGGCTTGAACCCAAGCGCTTTCCATCAGGAGCCCACATCTTAACCAGGACTCACGCCCAAACCTCTCCCTGCTCTAAGATTCCCTGATTGCAGCTATACAGCCTCAAATTCTGCCCAAGAAGCTGTGGGTCCTGCTGGAGAGGAGACACCCACGGTTCACAGAAAGTGAACTGAGGAGGCAAAGCTCACAAGAGGGGGGCCCTAAGAGCCAGGAAGACTGCGGAGGGAGAGGGCCCCTCTGCCTGGGTATCGGACCATATCCCGTGTCTCCAGAAAGAAAAGACTAGAAGCCACCACTCTAATCCTGAGGCCCCGGGGAAGGAACAAGTTCCTGGGAGAAAACAGGTTCCCACAGGCTTCGTCCTACCCCCCGTCACTCCTCCAGGTGCTCTTATCTTGGGGTGGGGGCGGGATGGCCGCACGCACGCACACACACACACATATACACACACATACACACACGCATGCACACACTCAACAAGGCGGCTCAGGCTCAGAGCCAGATGAGCTCCAGGACTCACTTGGTCCCACCCCCTCGTTTTGTGGCCCAGACAGTGCGCAGTGATTCCAGGAGGGTCACAGAGAGGATGGCAGAAGCACAGGCAGGATGCAGGTCCCCCAGGCTGGGATCCTGGCCAGCATACAACCTCACTTCTCCCAGACGACATTCCTCCAAGCTCCTCCCCTCGCCCCTTGCCCCTTTCCACAAATGCTCTGACGTGGAACAGTAAAAAAGAACACTGGATTTGAAGCCAGGAGACCCGAGTCTCCAGGACTCACTCTGAGACTGACGCCTATGTATTCCTGGGTGAGTTCCCTTCCCCCTCTGGGCCTCAGTTTCCACATCAATAAAATGAAGGGCTTGGCTTCTATTCCCAGGATCCCCGCTGGCCCTAGTGTTCTGAGGGCCCCATTCCAGGTTTCTCCCATGTCTCCAGAGGCCTCAGAAACCCCAGATGGAAAAGGAATTTGGACAGAGGCAGGAAGGACTCTGGCCCTTTTATTCACCCTCCGTTAAGCCAAAGTGCCAGCCTATGTGCAAGGTGGTTGGCACAGGCAAGAGAACAGACCCCTGGTGATGGCACAGAGGCCAGAGCCCAGCTGGGGCCTTAGCCACCCCTCTGCTCCCTGTCCTACCTCATCCCACTTCCTGGTTGATGGCCTCCACAGCCAGCATGGCAAGAGAACTGGATGCTAAGTGGAGACTTCTCAGAGCAGGTAGGGAGGAGGAAGGGGAGGATGTCCTGAGGTTGCTCTCATTCCCTCTCGGCTGGATCTCAGAGCCCCTGCCGGGAGCTCCACCCGGAGCACCCTTCAGCCATGGGGTCCTGATGATGGCGGTGGGCACACAGGTTGCAGGGAGACTGGTAGACCTGCCCTACCCTCTTAGGCTGCTTTATAAGTTAAAGTAGCTGTGAAGTGAAGGGCCACCTCTCAGGATCCTAAAAGTTACAGTTCTTTATGAATCCGGAGTCTCACAGCCCTTAGGCTTGGGGTTGGAAGAACTCTTAGATCCATGTTCTTCAAACTGCAGGTCGTGAGCCTGGAGCTTAAAATTGAGTGAGTCACACTCAGAGCTGAATAATAATAATAATAATAATAATAATAACAAATAGAAGAGAAAATATCAGAGTGGGTAAGAGTAAATTGTCTCATGAAACTCTTGTTCCAATTTTGTGTGTTGTGCCAGGTTGTAATGTAATGTAGACATGACTCTTGGTCACAGTCAAAAAAAACCTTGACAAGCCACTGCCTTAGATTATGCACCTAATCCTTGTTCACCAGCAGGAGAAAGTGAGCTGGCGTGCAAGGCTCTTCCCAACGGCCCCAGGCTACCTGCCTCATTGCCTTGTCCCCTCACCTGACTATAAACTCTGGCCACACCCAGCTGGGGCCCCACCCTCGGCACTGCACATATTTACACCTCTTTGTTCCCTTCAAAATCCCCTTTCTCTCAGCCCAACGCGCAATCCTACTTTCACCCAAGGAGGCCCTATTCGAATGTCCCCCCAGGGGCCCGGCAGGATGACCCCTTTATCTGCCATAGAACAGCACTCGTCCTCTGTAAATCAGTTGGTGCTTATCAGGGGAGCTTGGCACACTCCGATCTAATGGAGGAATGAAATCATTCATTTAAATTGAGTGAATAAATGACTAAAGTTTGAAGTGCTTTGGGGTCATGTAGTGGAAGCTTGCTGCTTTAGCAGTCATCCGACAATCGCTGTGCACCTACTAGGCGCCGTGCATCCCACGAGCTACTGGGACACTAACCAGACTATGGTGACTTTCCTAGAGGAATTCGTGGTCCAGTATGAGAGATGGGCATGTAAATCAACCCCCTAGTGTGAAAAGAGCCTCAATAAAGGAATATGCAAGGGGCCACCCTGGAGCTGAGCTGACTAAGCTGTTATCTCAGAGGATGACGAGAGCCACCAGGCAAATGACTAAAGCAGGGCAGGGCAGGGTAGGGGCTCTTCCAGGCAAAAGGCAAAACCTGTCTTAGTCCTTTATAACATATGCTACTTTTTTTTTTTCATTTTATATTTATTTCTTTAACTCCCCTACTAGACAGTAAACTCCAGGAGAGGGCCCAGGACCAGGCCTGCTGTGCTGCTCACCGCTGCTGAACACCATTTCTGGGGAGGCATCTTAACCCATTAAATATTTACTGAGTGAAGTGTCAGGAAACCGCAAGTGCTTCAGGTCGTCCCGAGAGTGAAGCGTAGGGAGGAAGTGGTAGGAAAGGGGGCTGAGCAGTCTGCACGCCCCGGACCACGGAAGGCACCTATGCCCTGGCTCAGGGCTGGGTCTTTTCCCTGCAGGCACTGGGGAGCTATGGTAGGGTGTAAATGGTAAAGAGACAGGAGGTAAGATTCATTGTTTAGAAAATTCCTCTGGATCGAGGGTGCCTGGGGCCCAGGTGGGCAGCAGAGAAACCGAATGCAGAAGTAACCCAGGCGAAGAAACTTGAGTCTAGAGGCAGCAGAGTGGGAAGCTCCGGCCTGGAGGGATGTGTGAGTTGCAGGAGGCCCAGCCAGGCTCTGGGGGCGACAGAGGCTCAGATGGCCCCTCCTCCCGCCACAGGTGCAGTGGGAAGGCGGGGCCCCTCGCTCACTCCGCAGGGCCCCGCCCAGGCGGTCCTTGCAGACATCAGGCAGAGCACGCTCAGTTTTGCCTTTGCCCTCCTCGTACTTTAAAAAAAAAACCAGCTCACATTTTAACACGTTTCTACCTTTTAAAAGTGAACATTAGATGGAGAAATGAAGGCTCAGGGCACTGTTATTCTCCACGCCCTGGTATGTCTGAACGTTCTCATACTAAAGCCTTAAGCGAATGCTATGTCACGACCATGTACGGAAAGCCAAGTGCCATAAATAGTAATTCTACACTCTCCATGGAAACTCTAAAGTCATCAAAAACAAAGTCATGTTATTAAACTTACCTAGCTCCTATGTCCTGCCCAAGCCTCCCATCTGACGCCTGTCTTTCCTTTGCTAAAAAGGGACCTTGCTGAGGTGTTGAGAGACATTCTAGCACAAGACATTCTGCCTGACCCCTAATTGAGAATTCCTGGAACATGAAAATAAGTACCTTGCTGTTTCGAAAAATTGCACCTGTGCCCCCTAACACTTGCAGACAAGTCCAGGGACTACAGCTGAACTCAGAGTCAACAGTCACTGGGGTTTGGGTCTCAACTCTGACTTTTGGCAAAGTAAGCCTTCAGGGATCAACTATTTATTATCAAGGACCCAGGAAACCACTTTACTGAAAACTTCTGAAAAGTGCTAACTTATTTTAACACGTTTCACGCTCACCACAACCCCCAGGAACGAGCCATTAGCACCCCCATTTTACAGATGGGGACACCGAGGCACGGGAAGACTCCATAGCTTGCCCGCCGCTCACAAAGCCAGTAAGCGACCCGGCTAGATTCGAATCCCGGTCGTGGCATTCCAGAGGGTTGGCTTTTACCAAAACATCCCTCTCAAGTTGCTATAGGCAATTAACTTTTTAAAACTTGAGTTCAATGTCAGGCATTTAGCAGGCTCCGGGTGGAGTGAGACATCCCAGAGCGAGGCTGATTTTCCACCCTCGCCCCTGCCTTTCGGGTATCACAGTGCTCCCCCCGCTTCATTTTCTGGCCCACCAACTCCCGCCAGCCCGCGCCGCGCGTCCAAGGCTCGGGTGCAGGATAGGATGGGGTGCAGGTGCTCGGGACCCAGCCGGGGTGTGGTCTGGGGGTCGGCGCCCGGCGGGAACTGGCAGGCACCCCAGGACAGCGCTCAGGGATGGCGGGGCGGGGCGGCACTTCCCGGCAGGAAGGAGCTGGGGAGAGCGGCCTTGGAAGGGTGCCCCCCGCGGGCCGGCTGCGGCAAGGAGCGGGCGGTCACAGGTGACGACACCCACTCCACCAAGGCGAGCGGCGCGGCGCTCACCTTATATGGGCCGACGCGGCGCGGGAGGGGAGGGGCCGGCGGGGGCGGGGCGTCCCACCCGGTGGGCCCCGCCTCGCGGCCAGACAACCTCCCGGGCAGGGTTCTCTCCAGGCGCAGGGCCTCCCTCGTGGGGCCCCCAGGTACCCCGAGACCACCTCCAGGCTGAGACCCGCGCGGGACCCTGCCCTACAGGGCCTTGACTGACTCGACTGGTGACTGACTGTACGCGTATTTCTTCCTTCACCCCACCGCAGCCCCAGGTCCAACCTAGGGAGCTGTGGGAGGGAGACCGTTAGTGACCGCACCTTGGAGCGCTCAGTTACCGATGGTGAGCCTTCTTGGGCCCTTTTTCTAACTGGCTCTAAGGAGTGTCTAACCCCAGCGTCAGCCCAGGGCCTGGAGAAACACTGGCCGTTCATCCCTCAGAAGTGTTTGGTTAACCCAGGACTTCTTGGTGGGTCAAGACTTCAAGACTTCAAGAGGAAGCGTCCGGCCCGAGTCAGCTCGCTGGTCACCTGGCCTCCAGTCTTCTTATCACAGCCCAGATCCTTTAAAAACCCTCATCTGTCCCATTGCTCTTCTCCAATCTCCACCCCACTTCTTAAAGCCCTTCACTGCCTCCCAGGCACCTACAGGGGAAGTGTCAGCCCTCAGCTC